TGTGGCAAGTAAATTAACAAGATTTACGGAAGTCTGTTGTTGGCAGTGCGTAGCCAACGTAAATTAATGTTTACTGTGTAAAAATGTAAGTCACAACAATTTTTACTTCGATAAATTAGTGGCTAAATCAAATCTGCGTAAATGTCGTGGCAAGTAAATTAACAAGATTTATGGGAATGTATTGGTAGCAGTACGTAGCTAAAACAAATTAATGCTAATGCTAAAAATGAAAGACGTAGCATTTGATATAACAGAGTAATAACGTTAAAACCTCCTCCTGTACAATTTGGTTTTTGGTAGATACGCGCCTTATGCCAATGCTACATACGCGGTTTTGCACTATCCCTGACCCGCTATAATTTATTACTGAACACTTTCACTTTTCACTTTGATACTGACCAATTTCATTTTGAGGTTGACGGTTTCACTCATACGCCTCGAAGAGATTGACTACCGGACTAGTATGGAAACTAACCTTTATATTCGAAAAGGCTTTAATTTATGCATTCTGATGTAATTTTATGGTTTTGTCTTGTATAATTTAATAAATCATCATTGTAAATAATAAAATTACTGGCAAAAAAGGTAAACATATGTGGCATCGACCTTTTGAAAGCCTCGTATTGGTTAAGAAATCATTTGTTGTTTTTAAACATATGGAATAAGCTATTATCACTCATCAACCCATTGACGTCTCATTGTTGGGCACGGGTTTTCTCTAAGGGATGTACGGTAAGCCCATAAGCCTATAAACGTCCATTGCTCGGTATATCCAGCAGTGGACGTTTTTCGACTGAATTGATGATTCAACGACGACGTTATTAACATTTAAATTTCGTTACTGAGGAGCCAATGAACAAAAATGATAAAGTTTATCAAACAACGCTATGGGATTTGTTATTTGATATTAACATTATTTTTGTATAAATCTTTACTAAATGTTCATAATCAAAACTAAATAGTTTCACAGTCTTAGAAGGTTATCTTTGAAAATTAGAGTGACCTTACGTTTAAGGGTGCCATTTTTTTATTTATTTCTTTACATAAGTCAGGATGCATTTTGCACAACTACTATTAAAATTGACAGTAGTGCGTTTGCAAAGATACCGTATGAACTTTAAGTCACTCTACTCATCAATTTAATGGATGCTACAGGGGTCAGATTCTTGTGCGATAGACGACAAAAACACAATAGAGAAAGTTTTTGGTATTCATAAGATAGACAAAACTCGACCCACAGGTGTATATCCAACAAGTTTAAAGAAGCAGTAGAGGTCATGATACTATAATAGCATCTCTATCAAAACATTAAGAATAAGATTTTTAAAATTGAATTGAGACTTTATGATCTGTACATGATTAATAAATTAAAACTAGTAGATACCAAAAAATGATATACAGACATGATGTATTGAAAAATTATGTAAAAATGGTTTTGCGCGCAAATTTATAAATAGTTATTTATTTATGTATTATCAGACAGATATTTTACTATTTTTTATTCTTGTTACTTTTTTTACTTTTGGCGTGTGTTCTGCGAATTAATATTATTAATGTAGTGTTCTGGTCAACAATTTACGAAATACTATGCAATATTCTACAGTATTTTGCACCAGTCACGCAAATATTTGCTAATTTTAGTCCTTGGTGGTTAAGAAGCAAATTTATATTTTTCCCCATTTCATCACTAAGTATACGTAACAACACTATTTCGAATTCCATTTCAGTTAGCAACTGACAGGGAGATATTTTTAATTTCCATACATGGTTCCTGCCTGCACCAGTAATATGGAGGAATCAGTAACACACACGGGCGGTTGTGTTTTTGTTTGTCTACAGTTACAAAATAATGTGATTGATCGTCAAAGAATCAAATCTATTATTAGTAAATTTACGTAAATCTAATAGCTTATCCATAGCCGGTGCGTGGTTCTGAATCTTCTGTTGAATTGTTTCATTTCATTAATCCGTTATATAATGCCCACGTAATTCCTATTTACGAATAAGTACATCCTATGAATCTCTAGTCCAACCTAATCCACCGAACAAATCCATTGATGGATTTGTTTCTATTTCATGTAACAAAATAATACTTTAATTGTAGAAAGAAAAATATTTAAAAATTAATCCAGGCGGTAGTAGTTCAATACTACATCCCTCAATACTTCAAAGCGCCTGCTAAGTGTTGCGACTGCGGCAATACTCATCTTTGAGGCACAAATCCATAAGTACTATTGTAACTATAGTGAAAAAATAGGGTGGTTTGCATTAATATTAGACATAACTGGTTGAAGACTGTACCACCTCAGTCAACCGTGACCATGGGACCTGTAAAGGGCCCGAAACATCGGTTTGTTTGAAAAAACAAATATACGCGATTTAAATCCGGAAAAATAGTTTCATTTCCTATGTGTAACAATCGCGAAAACCTAAGAACTCGATAATCACGAGTATGTTTACTACTTTTTCTTACAAAACCACAGTCGCGTTTATAACGTCATTTTGCAATAATATATAACAGCTAAATATTTTATTACAAATGGCAACCAAGGACAATTTTCGCAATAAACAATAGCATTTAAAATGAATCTCTATAAATTTTGAAATCGTTAGGAAATTTAAGTGTCAACACTGAATAAGTAAAGAACATAAACAGCAAATTAACAAATTTTTTATTTTTATTTTATAATGGATCTTTAAGTATAGGTATTTAATTTGTAATAAAATCAATGTTTTCAATTATTTTTAATTAACCATTGAAGATAACATTGATTTTTTTATAAAATGACTAGTTAACTTTTTCTCTAGATATTATGCTAATTTCTTATCCAAGTAGACTAGCAACGACTGCCGGAGGTACACCACCGCCAGGGCCTTGCTCAATCTGAGGTTGAAAGCCCTGGTCATCGGCGACATAAGTGACAATGTATGTGACGCCGTCGGGTCCTATCCAGGAGTACTGTCCTCTCACTACCAGGGCCTCGTTCTCCCGACCTTGGTTCGTCAATTCACCTCGTTGCTCGTGTCTCGTGCCGTCTGATTGATCGAAGCTAAAAACGTGATATGTACATAGATTAGTTACGTGTCACAAATGTTCAAAATTTTATTTGAAAGTCTATTTTGGTGTGATATAAATTTGTAAATTCCGAATTTATTTGAATAGGCTAGTGTTTAATTGAGGACGTCCTCATTTTATTTATGGGAAATAATTTATGGTAAAGAAGTATGAAATATTTTTGACTGAAAGTATGATATATTTGGACACGATTCCAGTAGTTAGAATAGAGTAGGGGAGAAGGAGACACAATTGAACAGGGACAGCTTAGTACAAATGCATTTGCGCAGTCAGTCCGAATGAAATTGTAGTAGGAATTATGTTTATAATAAGGCACCACCGAGCCCCTCACCTGTCAGTGGCAACGGTAAGTGTGCGCGCACCAAAAACTGAATGAGAGGTCACGTTTAGTTTTTAGTTGGCGTCGAAAATTAAGCATTCTCAAAAATAGAAATAAAAGAATATAGATAATGGCAAATTGAACCTTGCTTGTCGTATGGATTGTTTTGTTGCTAAAATACTAAACTTACAGCTTGCAATTATTGGATAATAATAATTCATCAACATAGCCCCGCACTAGGGAAACCCTGGATCGCGGGTGCCATGATTGGATACACACATAAGCAACCACAAATTACACCCAAACTTACGAGAGAAATAAATGTAGGCCATATAAATATTTCTCCCGGCCTAGGAATCAAACCTGGGACCTCTTTGTGGCAGTCCGGCATGGTAACCGTTCGGCCGCAGAGGCAGTTGGAATGTTTTTACGCATGACAAATATTTGTTATTTTGTGGAGTACCCATTGGGGCAGATTTGAACAAATCAAAGGGGGCAGCTTTGAACACGTTTAATAGAGGTTCAGATTACCTTCCTCTACTAATATTTTTATAAGAAGAGGTTTTGTTTATTTTTATTGCTTATTTTTATTCTGTTTTATACTATTCCTGTGATTTTATAATTAATTACTCTTAAGTAAATATCTTAAAGTTAAATTTTATTTATTTATTATATTGCACTTAATATTTTAAACTTTAATTGAGTTCCGGTTCCGTGCAAACTTTTTTTGTAATAGTCCTGTGATTATATATTTAACTAAATAGATTGAAGAACTATATGTATTGTAAAATGTTTTTGATAACGGATTTAATAAAAATTATTTATAATAAATAAGTAATTATAATGGCAATGACGATAATTGATGATGACGATGATGATAATGATTGATTTATTGATAAATGATGATAATTTAAATGTAAATCGATGAATTCAATGCTTCCCCGGTTGTGGGGCAGGTTTGAACATTTGAGTTCTTTCACAATAATGGAAATTCTGACAATATTATACACTTTTTGATCCTGATTATTATGATTGATTATAGCCCAATAACAAATGTAACTACAGCTGCAAACAAAACAAATAAATAATAATGATTTATGATTTTAGAATCAGATATATGTGTAAATGTTCAACGGTACCCCCTTCTGTCCTACACTTTAGTAAATGATTTGGTACTCACGCCCATCTATAGTTACCCAGGCCATTGTTATCGTTGTCGAATCGGAGAATCTGCACATCACGTTGCTGCGGTGCGGCGCAAGCCACTGCCACTAGGCAAAATGTCACGATCTGAAAAATGATTTCTATAGAAGTTAACAAGGTATATAAGCTATAAATAGTACTGTTGCTAAAATATATTCTGTTCTTTTGAATTCACTACTTTTCGATTTTCAAACCAATCGACGAAGACACAAAGATTAAATATAAATTATTATGAAATAAAATTTTTATTTCACTCTTTTGTTAACTCTATGTTTCCTTTTTAGAAAGAAACAACAAAGGTCTGCATATTTTTCTGTATTTATATGGTCATCCAGAATTATTGCGGAAGCTGAGTATACGAGTCAGGCAATCCACGTTCATGCGGAGGTATATTACAGTGCTTTTCTCAATCAATGCAAAAAATGGAGAATGAAGAATGAAGGAGAACGTACAATAGAAAAAGTACAAATAATTAATTAATATTCCATGACAAATTTCGTTTCTTGTTTTAAATTAGATAGAGTACAGTCCGTTATTTTTTTTTGTCATCTCACTAGAACTAATTTTCGCGAAGAAAATATAAACAATACAAAAACGAAGAAGTAACAAAAAAAAACTTTAAAGTTCGTTTATTTTATCGCTTTTTTAATCTAAGATGCAGGTATATTCGCATATACCATTTTTTTAAGTTTTCACCCATTTATTTGCGAAGGCAAAGGTTCTACCATACATTCTCTAATTTTAAAATATATTTTTAATTAAAATATAATATATTTAATTAAAATATACTATATTTAATTAAAATATATTATAGTGAATCATAATCAAAAGCAAAATAAGTAATACATATTTTTTAATTCTCGCAAATAAGTGCACTAATGCTACGAAGCAATTGTCTGCATGAAAGTTTTTCTTTAGTCTTTTTGCACCTCTTTGTTAGTTTTAATAGTTTATGGCAGCGGACTTAGATACTAAATCATTTCTTCAACACATTTCGTACTTATTTTGGCGGCATAGGCAAAAAGATATGCTTTCTGTTTTTTTTAAAGTAATGCAAGCAATTCCGTGCATGTTTGAGAAAATTATATTTCACTGCAGAACACCAAACCAATCGATCGGTGTATTGTACACTAGTCGATATCTTTCAAGCAATAATTTATCACTGAACATGATCACTTTTCACTTTGATACTGACCAATTTCATCTTGAGGATGATGTTTCGCCGACACGTCGAATAGATTGACTACCGAACTAGAATCGAAACCAACTTTTATATTCCAAAAGTTTGTAACTTATGCATTCTGATGTAATTTTACGTTCTTATCTATGATGAAGTCGTCTCAAAAGAGAAACACTTACTCAATCTTACAAAAAATCAGTTTTGCACTACATTTATATGTAAGTACGTTTTGTTCTTGAATTTGATGGTCAATAATTTAATACGTGATTAAATTATTGATCACAAAGGGAAGACGTTAGACCTCGATAAAAACAGTTCAGGTCCATACTTGTACTAATACTAAAACAAGATTAAATCATAATATAGTCAATAACATAGATACAATATTATATAGTATGTGTTTTGTTGTAATTTATAGGCAAACGATTCTCATTTCATTCTATGGTAAATGTTGAAATATTCCTCTTATCTAATGGCACGTATGGTTCTTTTTACTATCTTTGAATGACTATACTTGATTTTCTGGATATCATGTATAGTTATTTATCCAAGGAGAATGGCAGCGGCAGCTGGTGCACCCCCGCCAGGTCCTTGTACGATTTCGGACTGGAAATCGTTGTCGTCAGCGATGTAAGTGACAGTGTAGGTAACACCGTCAAGGTTAATCCAGGAGTAGCGGAAAGGAAGGAAGGTCCTTTCATAGCAATGGATTCGTCCTTGTGACCTTCGTTCTGCAAACTACCTTGTTTATCGCGCCTTTGACCGTCGCCTTGTTCATAGCTGAAGAAATAAAAATATGATTATAGTTGAAAAATACGATTTTTGGCAATAAAAAAGATCCAATTTAATAGTAAAAAGTAGCAAGTTTCTTGTAATTGAAAAATTAATTAAATATAATTACCCAAATCTGTAGCCTCACACGGCAATGTCGTCGATTTCGTAGCGAAGGATCTGGACATCACTACTCTTTTGAGGAGCAGCAACTGCCACCGCGGTCACACAGGCAAGTACGAACTGAAAGTAAAAGAAGCCAAGATTCACTTTCACAAATCTAATCGTCCTCATCATTTATCCTATTTAAGGGCCCGGCTTTTGTTGGTCTAGGCTCCTCCATTTTTCACGGTCTATAAACAGCTCCTTGACCTCTTCTTAGATACTCATTCTGACGCTCCTTTTGTTTATTGACTATTCTTAGTTTTTCTCTACCTCTTTTTGCTTCTATTTTCCCCTCAATTATAATAAATATAACTTTCGCATTTACTTAATGGCAAATCACTGATAAACTTTTCCGACGTTGGAAATGAAACTATTTTTCCGGATTTAAATCGCGTATATTTGTTTTTCAAACAAACCGACGTTTCGGGTCCTTTACAGGTCCCATGGTCACGGTTGGCTTTTCGATGTTTCTAAATTTACTAAAAAAAAGTTCAAGTGCTTATTGCAAAGCGTTAAATGTCAACTCCACTATTTGCACATTTTGATGAATAGACAATCTCAACAGTATTAATATTCGATTTACATATCCGTTGTTCACTCAAGTTACGAAAAACTTAACAGCTTACCACAGAATTGTTACACAAGCACAAACTTTTCATAAAGCCCAGCCTGGTTATATTTTTACGCTTCGATAATAATTAAAATGACGTTAAAGGTTGAAGTTAACAAACTTTTCACATACACTAATACAAAAATATATAGATCAAATACTAACCCATTTCATTTTAAGTGAAGATGACACTTCGTAAGCATATAACGGAATGACTTAAGTGAATGCATTAGGTCTTTATATGTATCCTAAAGCAGTTGCCTTAATTTGATGACAAGAATATTATTTTAAAGCTTGAACAGTCGCGAATGACTTTGACTATTTGAACTCTAAGCATTAGTAACAATTTCATACGCCATCTATCTACCACGCGCTTGTACTTTCACAAAGTCAAATAAAGATTGGTTATAAACTAGAATACTGATGAATCGGTGTGTTTGCAATCTATACCTATGTTGTTGTCCCCTCAGAGACATTCGAGAATAAACCATCGTAAAAATAAACATTACATAATATTTTAGGGTCAAAATCGTAACAACGTAAATAGTGAAAGTAGTAGGTATATCATGCAATTATTCGATTGTTACATCCTATCAATTAACAACTGATACTATTATTTTCAACTATAAAAAAGAAGTTGAAAAGCGTAGAATGTAGTTAAATTAAAACATTTACTGTACTATAGTTTAAATGCATTTAACAAACGTCAATATTTACTAATTATGCGTCATTGAAAGTATAACTTTTACGTATTATTAAATTTGTTTTATACAATACGTAAATAAACACTTAGATTAATAATAAAAAATATAATATAAAAATAACAGTGATTACGACCAACACGACTACTTTACTTTTAACTTATGGAAATGCTAACAATAAGACAGTACGATATAACGATACGTACTTTGCGCGAGGTTAAATTTACTGTCGCATCCAGACCCACTGGATGCAACTTCATGTGTGTGTGTGTAGTTTAAGTTTCTTTTATTTTATTTTACTTCACTTATTTATCTGTGTGTTAGATCAATTTCAATTTTATATTTAATCAATTTCAATTTTATATTTACTGCAATTTTTGGTGATTGTATTTCAATTCTTTTTTATGATTTTATAGTTTTTGAATTTTATTTCATTTTATACAGTTAGTTGAGAAGGTTCCGGGTTCGATTCCCGGTAGAATTAATTAGGTAAATGAACTTTTCTAAAATGGTTTTGGTCTATGTGATCTGGATAATGTCGTTGAGTGAATTCTGTAGCTCTTGGTCCCCGGTTTGATTCCCGGTAGAACCAGTTTCGGAAATGAAGTTTTCTAAAATGGCTTTGGCCTACTAGGTGTTCTGGATAATACCGCGGAGTGTATTATGCCCTGGGTTCATTTCCCCGTATAATCAATATCGGAAATGAAATTTCTAAAGTAGTTTTAGCTTAGCTGTTCTGGGTAGTGCCGTGGAGAGAATTCCGTAGCTCTTGGTTCCGGCTTCCTAATTTGGTTCTATTGGGGATCGAACCTGGAACCTTCTTATCCAGCGCCATATTATTTGCATGTATAATGTATAAATTCGAAGCTTCACCTTAGATTTATTTTTTATTTTGGCATAATATCTGTATTGTCTAGTTTTTGGTAGTTATTAAAAAATATGCAATGTAAATATAACGAAGTAAGTAATTTATAAAATCTTTTTTTATAACATCAAGTGCCGGGACGAACAAGCCGTGCGCGTGATGGTAAGCTACGCGCCTGTCCATAACAGTTACAGTGCGACTCAGAGCTTTAAATTGCAAAGATCTGAGGGGCACTACCGTTACGCCCGTCACCCAGAGACATAAGTTGACAAGTCCCATGCGCTTGTAATTTCACCAGCACCCTTACCCTTCAAAACCGGAACACAGTAATGCTAACATTACTGTTTGGCGGCAGGTAAATAGGTAAAGTGGCAGTACTACCCTGGACTCTGGACTAACGCTTTCACACGGTTTCTACTGCTACTGAACTTATAATTCTAAACTATAAAAACAAACTGAAATAAATATATATACAAATTAAGTTTAACACAAATTCAAATGAAATTAATTAAAAACAACAACTTTTTGTGGCATAAACCCGCTCAAAAACACTACCCGTCGCAAAGCGTGGAAGGCGACTGACCGTATATACTGCGCAGAGGTCGCGGGTGGGAAGGAATTATTATTTTTTAAATTATAACACTTAACTTATGAAATATATAAGTTAAAAAAACCAAACAATACATTTTATCCGAAATTAAACTATCTATTTTTTCGTGTAAAATTTATAAACAACAGATGTTTACATGTAAAGCTTTACATGTAAACAGCTAAAGCTTTATTGCTTTTTATTTAATTTGAATGCTTAAGTTTAAATTTTATATCGTAGAAATGTGCTTAATAAATTATAATTTTGCTCAATACAATCAATTATTTAAGAACTACTAGGAATCATATATTTTTTGTGATTCTTGGACTATTATTATTATCAGGAATTTACTTTTTAGAAGAGCCTAATTCGTAAATCTGGCACCTGTTTTAGCCTTAACGAGGCAAGGCGATCCGCTTACATCAAATTAAAATAGCAACGATATTTGAACTACTTTTGAAATATCTACTAAATTGCCATTGTTCTAAGGTTTCACTGTTTATTATAATTTGTTGTACTATGTTCGTTCTCTCTTCTGTAACACGCATTGGGCCAGAGACGTGGCGGACTATGACATGGCCTTATATATATATTCATTGCCTATTCATTGTTACATACGATATATGTAATCTTCTGTAAATTTCTCTCTTCAGTGTATTTATTCATAAATATAATAGATATGTGTTAACCATCCCGAGAAGGTGCTAGCCGTTACAAGCCACGTGCATATCCGCTTAAACAATAGGATATATGTGTGCGAAGGTGCTAGTCAGATTTTTTATGTAGAAAGTTTTTTTATGATACCAAGTCACGGCACCTGGTGATAAGCCACACGCCTACCCCCAATAGTTGCAATGCTACTTAAAGCTTTAAAACGCAAAGATCTGAGGGGCACTGCCACTGCGCCCGTCACCCTGAGATATAAGTTGACAAGTCCCATGTACCTATTATTCACCAGCACCCTTAACCTTCAAAACAGGAACGCAGTAACGTGAGCATTATAGCTTGGCGGTCGAAATAGGTAATGTTGGTTGGTTGAAGGTTTTGAATTTTTATTAAATATCATTAATCTATTTTTTATGAAAATACTTCACTAGTTTGTCACAAAACACAAAGAAAAATTCTTACCATCCGATTGGACTTGAACCAGCGCCTGTCACCTTAATGTGGCTAATAATGTTTAGGTATTTGAAATGTTGACCCTGAAATTATTTAACGATGCAATTCGTTATACTCCTCAGTGTGAATTTAGTTTTATCGATTATGTTTTCAATACAATAGATAAAATGAAATCTTACGCTAATAGAGATACCAAAAGTTTTTTAGATATCTTTATTGAGATACCGAAAATCAGTTTTTTTTTAAATTAAATTTGGACTTCAGGAATGGTAAAAACGTGCAGTGTATGAGAATTATTATTTTTTTGTGTCGAAAGGATTCTATTAATAAAAAGTATCAAGATACTAAATAGCAAATATTACCCGTTTTATTAAATTGTTAAAAAAAATCTTAAGCCCAAGCGGATGAAAACAAAGCCTCAGATAGTATAAATTATTCTAAACATAGGTAAACAATGTCCAGAAATGAAGAGGAACTAAGTAAATTGGATTTATTTTACATTCACATACGGTAATATTTGCTTCAAGTCAAAGGGTTAAATACAGACATCAAAAGTGGCCAGGGACCAAGCACGTTTTTTCCAAATACTAAAAACCAGGCTTTTAATTATTACTTTTTAACATCAATGCACTTTTGGTTTTCGGTCAATTTTATAATTTGAATTTGAAAATGAATTAGACCAAAAAATCCATTGGTCTAAAAGAAATTCATTAAAAAACCTGATTTCGCAAAAATGTGCTTGACCCCAAGACAATTTTATGTGTTTTGTTACTTTATTGCTTTGACGCTTCCTTATTTGTTAAAAAAAACTTGTACTAATACCAAAAACAAGATTAAATTATAACATAGTCAATAACATAGACACAATATTATATGGTATGTATTTTGGTGTAATTTATAGATAAACAATTCTCATTTCATTCTATAGTAAATGTTGAATTATTCCTCTATCTACTGGAACGTATTGTTCTTTTTACTTTTATCTTTGAATGACTAGCTTGATTTTCTGAATATCATGTATAGTTATTTATCCAAGGAGACTGGCAACGACGGCTGGAGGTACACCACCACCGGGTCCTTGTTCGATTTCGGGCTGGAAACCGTTGTCGTCGGCGATGTAAGTGACGGTGTACGTAACGCCGTCAGGGCCAATCCATGAGTAGCTTCCTTTCACAGCAATGGATTCATTCTCGCGACCCTCGTTTTGCAAACTGCCTTGTTCATCGCGCCTTTGACCGTCGCTTTGTTCATAGCTGTAGAAATAAAAATAATTATAGTTGCGATTTTTGGCAATCAAAAAGATCCAGTTTAATAGTAAAAATTAGGAAGTTTCTTATAATTGAAAAATTATAATTAATATAGTAATATATAATTACGCAAATCTGTAGCCTCCCACGCCAATGTTGTCGCTTTCGTAGCGTAGGATCTGGACATCTCTACTCTTCTGAGGAGCAGCAACTGCCAACACGATCACACAGGCAAGTACGAACTGCAAAGTAAAAAAGCCAGGATTCACTTTCACATTTAATCATCATATATCCTAGTTTGTTATAATTATTAATACAAAGATCGAAACACTCAGAAAAAACACTCAGAAAAAATTCCTTCGATCCGGTCGGATTCGAACCGACCGTAGTTGGTATAGCGTCTGGCACGGTATGCAAGAAGACGTCGGTTCGAATCCGACCGGATCGAAGGAATTTTTTCTGAGTGTTTCGATCTTTGTATTAATAATTATAACAAACTAGTGGAGTAATTTCACAAAAAATAATTGAATATCAATTCAATAAAAATTTAATTAATACAGTGAATAGCGACATCTCTCGCCAGGACTGGTAGCTGTAAAGGTACTAACTGGGTGATAAATCTGTCATAGATTTCTCATAGATGGCGCTACGACTAAAAAGTCGTTGAAAGGCAAGTACAAAGACACGACGCAAGCACATAGAAAAATTCGTGAGATCCGTTGGTTCGTTCCGTGGCTTAGTTGGTATAGCGTCTGGCACGGTATGCAAGAAGACGTCGGTTCGAATCCGACCGGATCGAAGGAATTTTTTCTGAGTGTTTCGATCTTTGTATTAATAATTATAACAAACTAGTGGAGTAATTTCACAAAAAATAATTGAATATCAATTCAATAAAAATTTAATCATATATCCTATTGAAGGGCCCGGCTCTTGTTGGTCGAGTATCCTCCATTTTTCACAGTCAATAGTCATCTCTTTGACATCTTCTTAGCTACTCATTCTGACGTTCTTTTTGTATGTTGACTATATGCTATTCTTAGTTTTTCTCTACCTGTTTTTCCTTCTATCTTCCCCTTAAATATAACATATAATTCACACATTTACTTAATGGCAAATCACAGTTAAATTTTTTCGTTTTGATGAATAGATACTCTCAACAGTACTAATATTCGATTTACATATCACTTGTTCACTCAAGTTACGAAAAACTTAATAGCGTTCCACAGAATTGTTACACAAGCACAAAATGTTCATACAGCCCAGTTAGGTTATACTTTATACGCTTCGATAATAATTAAAATGACGTTAAAGGTTGAAGTTAACGAATTTTTCACATACACTAACACAAAAATATATAGGTCAAATACTAACCAATTTCATTCTAAGAGATGATGACACTTCGTAAATATATAACAGAATGACTTAAGTGAACGCGTTCGGTCTTTATATGTATTCCAAAGCAGTTGCCTTAATTTGATGACAAGGAGATTATTTTAACGAAAGCAAGGCGATCCACTTACATCAAATTAAAAAAACTATGATATTTGAACTACTTTTGAAATATTTACTAAATTGAATTCAAAAGTTTCACTGTGTATTATAATTTTTTGTACTATGTTAGTTCTCTTTCCTGTGTTATATTTCATGTAGCAAATCATCAGTCCAAGTAGTAAAATCACTGGCAAACAATTAGACACCAGCCTTTTAAAAGCCCTGTTTGTTTGGTCAACAAATCATTGACCATTTTTAGACATAATATTATGTAGAGTTGAAGAAATTTTATTTGCACCGATACGAAAGTTATCTCTGGGAACGGCTTATCCTTTCTGCTACAATATAGTAATAGAACCTTCAATACTTCTTTTACTCAAAACCTGCATGGATTTAATGATTTTGGTTCATCGTACGAGTCATGGGTGCGCTAAATGCTTTTTCGGAATACTAGTTTTGAACTTTTTCTTTACCATTTGGCCGTTTTTTTAAACCTGTAAGTACTTCATAAAATACCGCCTGTCGACTTTTTTCTAACTAATTCAACAAAGTTAGTTCCGCATAGGATTACCACGTTTTGAATTAAGTCCCAATGCGTAAAAGTGTTTAAACTAGTTGTTTGCACTATACAGAAATGCACGTGCGTTACAGAGACGGTACACTCTTTTGTCCTATTGTATTCTAAAGATGAAGCGATAAGACGAATCGTTGCAAATAATATTTCATCGCCTATACTAAATTATCATAATCCATCAACTCATTTTATGTCTCACTGATTTGTACGGGTTTCCTCTAAAGAGAGGCTTTAGTTTTTTTTAATAATACCAAGCGACGGAACGGATAACTCTTGTACCCGGTGGCAAGCGATACACCTATCGATAACAGTTGCAGTGCGACTCCAAGCTTTAAATCACAAAGATCTGAAGGGGCACTGCCACTGCGCCTTATGACATAAGTTGAGTAGTTCCATGTGCCTGCAATTTCACTAGCACCCTTACCTTTCAAAATCGGAACGCAGCATGACAGCTTAGCGGTCGAAATAGATAATGTTGGTTGGTTGAAGGTAGTTTTCATTGAATATCAATTAGCATTCATCTATTTTTTTGTGAAAATACTTCACTAGTTTGTCATTATTATGGAACTCTTTCAAAAGGTGCTCTACATCCGCCTCACGGTACTAGCCGGACAAAGGTTTGCGACTTAACAGGTTTTCTGAGGCTTACAAAAGATTTTCGACGTAAAACTAAACAAAGTTTGTGTTATATACATTGTTTTACAAAAATCATTACATCTTTCAGCATATTTTGTTGGTGCTTTATGTATATTTACGAATTAATTTAAATTGTTAACAGCAATATATAAAATAAATTATATAGCGAATATGGTTAATGAAGAAGAGAGATTTATTTATTAACAGAAAAAATAATATTGTTGCTGTTGTTGTATTCGGTAATTTTCAGGTTAGTTTTCACTACATCATTTCGGTGGCAATTTTTATTATTTAAGCATTCGAATAAATTAACGAGAAATAATAACAAGTTTCTTCACTCGAATATTACAAAATATTTCGTGATAATATCCTACAATATTTAAATAATAGAAAATGCCACCGAAATTAGATAGAAAAAATTAACCTGAAAATTACCCATTCAATAATTTACACGTAATTGATATTTAAATTTCTTAACTGTAAACTGAAGAGTCAATGTACATCAATAGTAAAATGTATTAAGTTAGGAATTGTTATTTAATTAAACGTTATTTTACATAGAACTTTACTAAATGGTAATGATAATAATCAATCATAATCAAAACTCTCGTGTTTACTTAATAGTTTCCCAGATTTAGCGGGTACGTAATGAGAATTGAGAGACCTTACATTAGCAGTGTATCCTTTAAGTTATTTTTTTACAAAATTTAACAATCGCTCTATAACCACTATTAAAATTTCACATCCTTGGTGTAATAAGGCCACATCTACAAAATGTCAACTCTAAGTTTTAAAGATTGTTCGAACTGAATTAGTCGATAACTTTTTTATCCTTACACAGGCGAGTTGTAAAATGTTACATACCTAGTTCTGCCGCCAAGTCGCAATGTGAACATTACTGCGTACCAGTTTTGAAGGGTAAACATAAGTTTTGGTACAATCGATAAATCCAAAACTTACGCTGATAGAGATTCCAAAAGTTTTCTAGATATCTTTATAGAGAAACTGAAAATATATACTTTTTAAATTAAATTGGCACTTCAGGAATATTAAAAAAACGTGCAGTGTATGAGATTTTTTTTTTATAATTATATCGAAAAGATTCTAGTAATAAAAAAATATCAAGAAATTAAATTACAAATATTACCCGTTTTATCAAATTGATAAAAAAAAATCTTAAGCCCAAGCGGATGAAAACAAGGCCACTGCTAGTAAAATTATTCAAAACATAAGTAAAAAAATTTTGTTAAATAAAGAGGAACTAAGTAAATTGGATTTAGTTTACATTTACATACGGCATTATTTGCTTCAAATTAAAGAATTAAATACAGACGTCAATAGTGTCCAGGAACCAAGCACGTCAAATCAGGCTTTTTAATTATTATTTTTTAACATCAATGGATTTTTGTATTTGGTCAATTTTATAATTTGAATTTGAAAATAAAATAGATTAAAAAAAATCCATTGGTGTAAAAGAAATTCATGAAAAAACCTGATTTCGTAAAAATGTACCTGACCCCTAGACACTTTTGAAGTGTGTTATTACTAACTTAACTAACGTAACTTTATTGCTTTGACTCTTCCTTATTCAAGCTGAATGGTTTGTATTTTGCAAGTGCAAGCTTTTCACGTATTTATTGGTATTGACTTTCGTCAATTATACATAACGAAGTGGTTGCAGCACTAAAGAGGTAGTTTTCATGTTTAAAAGTAACATGAACATGTCGGTGGTAATTGGTGTTCAACTCGGGCACATACATTAATTTCTATAGTGATGAAACTCTTAAGTCTCCTTAATAAGGTTAGAAGTCTTGACCTATGCTTAGAGGTTACATTGTGTAATTTCAATTTTAAAATATATTTACGTTAATATTCTTATGTGTAGAAATCACATGATATTGATGAAATTTTACCTTATGAGTCACTAATATGATAGTTTTTTTTTTAATAATAGCCCCGCACTAGAGCAGTAGAGCTCCTTGCAGAAGAGTTCGTCTAGGGAAGTACTGCCACCTTACCTAGTTCTGTCGCCAAGCTTAATGTCAGCATTACTGTGTTCCAGTCTTGAAGGGTAAGGGTGCTGGTGAAATTACAGCCACATGAGACTTGTCAACTTACGTCTCAGGGTGCCGGGGTCAGTGGCAGTGCCCCTCAGATCTTTGCGATGCAAAGCTCTGAGTGGCACTGCAAGTGTTATAGACAGTCATGCAGCTTACCATAAGACGCACGACTTGTTCATCCCGTCACTTGATATTATAAAAAAAAAACTAGGAAAACCTATATCGCGCGTGCCATGGACACCCACATAGACAACCATAAATTACACCCAAACTCACGAGAGAAATAAACGTAAGCAGTACAAATATTTCTCCTGGCCCGGGAATCCAATCCGGGACCTCTGCGTGGCAGTCCAGCGTGGTAACCGTTCGGCCACGAAGGCAATTAATTAGACTGTATTGTATAAATATGTATTTTTTTGCAATTATTATATGTTTTGTTATTCGGTTAATAAAACTATCATTTAAATTTTATTTATTTTTTATTTTACAATTTATTCTAATGAATCAGTATATAAATATTATATACAGTTTCATAATTGAATTAAACTATTTACATTGATTTTTCTAGCAACTACGCAGATTTTAACCGAGGAGCGAGGCGACGACTGCGGGAGGAACGCCACCACCTGGACCTTGCTCTATGGTGGGCTGGAAGCCATTTTCATCAGCAATGTAAGTGACTGTGTAAAGGACTTGGTCAGGACCAATCCACGAGTATTGACCTCGAACAGCGATGCCCTCGTTTTCGGTCCCTTGGTTCTTCAGCTCACCCTGCTCTTCGTGCTTGCTACCGTCCGATGTCTCCCACCTATATAACGACATAATTTAAATAAAATTGTATTAAAATGTAAACGTGTTGAACTATGCTGTGATTATAAACTTTACACCGCGATCTTACGCGAAACTGTAAGAGTCCAGTCCAGCATTGTTAACATCATATCGCACGATTTGAACATCCTGTTGATTTTGGGGAGCAGCCATCGTGGCGGCGACCAGAACAAACACCACGAACTGAAACAATAAACCCATTATATGATCCAAATCCTTCGAACACGTATCACTTCACTTCACTCCACTGCACTGCAAGTACTGACCAATTTCATTTTATTGTTCCTAGCGACTATCTTCCTCGAAGTACACTTGGATTGTGGGATGATTACGTGTCCAAACGACCCTCTTATATATACTAGCGGTTTCGTTTCCTCTAATACTTGTGGTTGCAACACCGCATTGGCTTGCCGAAGCTTCTCTCTAAGCTCAACCGCTGCATTTGTCACGAACGGTGCGCATATACACACAACGTCTTATGCGTATGTTGTAAAAACACATCTTGACCCATTGCAATTTTTGTTAAGTAATAATAACACAAATGTCAATGTTAGTAGGGATTTTAAAAGGTAATAATTTTCTCCTCTATTCGGACAATGCATCGTTATTAAAACATTTACCAAACAATGTAATTTATCTGTGTGCAATATGATATGTCGTACATTATTCTCACTGAGTGGTGGAGAGTTCGGTAATCCAATCCATTGTATTTTATATCTATTGCACAGTAATATATATTTTTGAGTTTTCAATTAGAGTTACAATAAGAATAGATGTAACGTATGACCTGATACCCTTTCGCACGGAAGGAGACTGTATTGTTTAATGTGTGACGGTCGCGATAATGAACCGGCGTTACTTAACAACAGGTCAACGTAATGTGTTGCTGCTATGTACAACTACAAAAGGAATTTTATTGTTTCCATAAATTTATATACAGAAAATAAAATTGATATTGCCTAATAAATTAAAAAAAATTGGAATAAAATTCTAAGGACCTGCAATTAAGATATTGTACAGCTAAATTACAGTGAAAGTATTTTTAGACTTTAGCAGTAAGTATGAAATTTGCGCAAAACAAACGAGGTCTGTAGACACAGTCTCTTGGGACAGAAAACATCAATTGGGTGGAGCGAGTAGAGACAAAACCATTTATGCAATAGGTAAGTATGCTCCATTTGGAGAGGTTCATTCATGCTAAGCATATGCAAACCGCGCAACGTGTCGTTAAGCTGAAAGGTCATTAATAACATACCACACATACCAACTTTATGCTGGTGTGTGACATGAAAGTAGAATACAAGCTAACGAATGGAAAATTTGATATATTTAGAGGGGCGCTAAAAATAAGGTTAAATTAGGATAACAACGTGGACCACTGACCATATAGATCAGAACGTTTAATTTGAAATAATAATGATTTCAATCGTCTTTCTGTTTCGATGTTAGAGGCCCATAATAATATGAATGTTGTTAATCATAGTTCAACCTTTTTTAAGCATTCGGCAGGTATGCTTGCTCAGATTACACAAACTAATGCTAATGAACATTTTTCGTTAGGAAATCGAGAAAACTTAAGTAACTGTCAATGTGTACTTGCATATCTCATGAATACTGCATTCTTGTAAGGTTATGGGAACGTCAATCAGTTCAAGTAAGTGTCGGCCTTTAGCTTTTTCAATTGGTTGATGTTATTCCGAAGATGAGGCACTTTGTAACATTGCAACACTAAAACCACACTTATACAGAAGTAATAAAGTTCATGTTGCATGCAACATGTATGATGTATTTTAATAAGTGTACAAACCACAACGTTAAGTCAATAATCACGTGGAAAAGGCCAAGGTCTTACATTTTGCGCTGAATAATTTGTGGCCAATTGGTTTTTGATGGGTGTTTAGATGGAGTTTCTTCATTCCATATTCTTATCTGGTACGTGAGAGAATTATAATACTATAATAGCATAATTTGTATTTAATTATGAAATTGTTTCCAAAGTGTTTAACATTGTGCTAGAGAATATAGCCATTGATAATGCAATAGCGTTACATATTAATTGACATAAACAGAATGTTGCCTACATTTAAATAATCAGAGGTAGGTTAAAACATCTTATTTGACTATAAAATTAAGTTAGATTGTTGTATGGTTGATTGGCTGGGTGTGCGCAGGCGCAGGCTTAGGCTGTTCTCCCAACCGGTCGCGTTACGTCACAGTGTGTTGAACTAAGTCAACCTAAGACGCGCATATGACCTCCGACTGATACTCGAAACTTTTTTTCCGAACTTTGTTCATATTCAATTCTCTATTTCACTTACTCCTTCGACTTCATTAAGATATCATTTTCAAGATAAATAACTGTTCATCCCTAAGTTACTCTGAAAGTTGTTTGAATCTATTCAGGAACTAGAAATTAGACATGGAATTTCTGATAATAATAAAATAAATCATTCATGATAATATTTTTTACTTTCACTTCAGAGATTTTACGTTGTACATTCCATTGAGTCAACAGAGAAACGTAGCCGACTTTCTGATAAAATTACCATCTAATTTAAACTCTTTATTATTATAATTGTTTATATGTAACGATTAACACTAAAAATTTTGGGTTTAAGTTCAGAGTTCCATTAACTACTTAATAAATTTAAAAATGTAGTACAAGGTTGTTTTACATAACATCATCATATACAAGGGTCAGTTGCGGTCAAGACACCCACGGTTACGTCATTATCACGACGCTTATTTGTTATTGTGCTTTTATCACATTTTTGGTTTGGTTTTTATCATTATTATCGGTTGTCAATCATAAAAAGACGATATTATACATCCAAGCATTCGCTGTCGACAGGTCCTCAAATACGAAGAGCTTGTAAGTGAAATTGTGGGTATACGCTCATTGAATCAGTATATAAGGTTATTCGCCATAGAGTAGAACCATAAAAATTATATTCGGACAGATAAATAAAATGCTAGTGTGCGATCCAGAACATAATTGGTTTTATTGACAATAAAACATAACTATTCTCTATTAATGTGGCAATCGTTAATAGGAGATAATAACAGAGGTCAGAAGATTTGGTGGAGTTCAAACGCTTACTGAGTTGTTGCAGCTCGTCTGTGTCATTTTCATTTGAAATGGCGATTGCCACACACGAGATTTGTAGATGCAGCTATGTGCCTTTACTAGTTATGGGAAAGGCTGTATCCAATTGTAATATCAGATTGAAAAGATTCGGATAGTTCTGAATCGTGTCCGACTGGAACGCCACATTTGGATATGTAATCATAGTTTAGGTTGATAACAACCTAAACTATGACTGTTACATAAGTAACAGTCTATTGTACTGAATTAGTGACGTACTATCATATAGGCGTGATCAATAAATATTGAACACACCGTGCACAACAATGATGGGCGTGCGTGATTAACCAAGACATTAAATAGAACTGATATTGATGAACCATTGAAACGGCGCTACTAATTATTTACTTAGCAGTTATTGCTTAAATCTTGTTAGTCTTTTTATCGTGATTAGCACACATTTTACACATACAAATTGAGACGGCTAATTGATTCCTGTCAATAATTATTTTTATGCAACGTTCACCTATTTCGACAGAGTGTATGTAGGTAGCAGTAAATAGTGGATATACTGATGTGAAAAAATCGAGTGAGTTTTTTAACTTCAAGGACCACAGTAGTCTAGAGTTCCACCGCTATGTTATGGGTGTTCCAAGGATTCGCACGAAACGTCACGCCACGATATTTATATAGCAAACGACTATGGAGTGGAATTCCTTGCCTGCGGACTTATTCTCTGAACGCTATAACTTGGGCCTTTTCAAGACGAAAGTGAATAAGCATTATTTAGGTGTGCATGGTCCATCGTTGACCATATCGTCACTTTTCGTCAGGTAATATGGAGGTCAAATGAACACTTATTCTTTGATAAAAAAAAACTAAAAAAATTGTTGGAGCCATGCAAAGTATTGTACATTTTTGTTTACACTCTTTACACTCTTTACACTCTTGAAATATTGAAGGCAAAAACAGTGTTACGTTCTAGACTAATACGACGGATCGAACAGTCTCGTCCTGGATCAAGCTTTGCGGTGTTTTAGTATTTGTCTTCTAGAGAAAACTCATTGTATTACGTCAAGGCACAGATAAAAAAACAAATTGTATAGAATGTAATCTTAGAAAGACGCAACGACTCTATCAAGCTCGTCTTCAGTGAAGCAAAGCAGCATAAAACAATAGACACGACGCCTGTCGACGTGGCTCTCAGGCTTCGCGGAGTTGTAGAAACTGTCTTCCGCAGGCGAGTAGCGGTCGAAATCTATCTTACACACCTGTAAAATAAAGGCACTTCGATTTTTTATTATGTTTCTAGTAGTTTAATACCTTCAAGCTTCACTATTACATATCTATTATAAAAGGAAAATCGCAACGGTATTTGCTACTGTAACGTTGTATGGAACCCTTTCTATAACGTATACAAAAAGAAACTCGAAAGGGCGCAGAAAAGATTCATGTGGCACTTGACCTATTCCTGTTTTCTTACTAAGTCTTTAAAGAACTCCGACGCCAGACTTAAGCAGTTCAAGTTGGAATTATTATCGCATCTCAGGCACACTGAATCCTGGATACGCCTGAATTACTGAACGAACTAGGCTCTAACATACCGCGTAGGTTACCAAGGTCCTCGCAATGTTTTAACCTATCGCGTACCCCGAGCTCCCACTCCAATTTGGGCCACTTTGCGCCTCTGGCTAGACTGGCACGTCTGCATAACAGTAAGTGTATGAACACTGTTGACATCTTTGCCGACAGTTTGCTCAAATTTAGACATTCTATCAAGTCCCTAACATCTTAAAACATCTTAAATAGGTATATATTATATTATATTATAGTATATGCTTATGCCTTAATTACTTTATTTTGAATTTGCTTTTTTATTTTTTGCTTTATTAATATCATTTACATTCTTTTAAATTGAATATGATTGATCGATTCAAATTGTAATAGTAATTATTAACATTCTTATTTTACATTGCATGTTGTTTTCACCTATAACTGCTATAGCATTAAGTTCTTTGTTTTGTTATGTTAAATACCTAATTGAATGATATAATGTGTATAGTGTTGGTGAACTGAATAAATAAATAAATAATGAAAACAAAAAATTCTTCAAAAATTTTACAGCTTTTAAGGCTATTTTAAAAATATTTTTATAGGACGTAATTTCAAAAGAGGCGGGAAAGTTTTAGGTTTATAATTCAGAAAGAATCCCGGAATTGTTCATTCGTAAGGGTGCTGCATTTTGTCATGATATTACTAAGTCATACACAGCTTAAAAAACCGTCAAAATTTATTGTAATTAGGAAGGGATGTATTACTTCATCCACCGTGTTCACCCGAACATAACCACTTTAGAGTTTCACTTTACACAATTCTTTGATTGAGTATGACTTTGATAATGACGAGACTGATGATGGCTGAATGATGAGACTATCTAAACGATACTTAAGAGCTGACTGTATGTAAGTTTTTATAAACCTACAAACATATTACCCGAAAAGTGGCAAAAGATTGTATATCACCATGACTAGTATATTATTATATTGATTGAAGTTTTTTTAACGTTTTTCGTTTATACATTGATGATACATTGACGTTACGGCCAACCCAATACATTTATGTTGACAAAAAAAAAACTACACCAATTATACTATCTGGTTAAGTGTTTCAACACAGTGAGGTATAACAAAAAATCAGGAAATATGTTTTAAAACAACAAACTATTTAGTAAGATTTTAGAATGATAAACCATTCAACTAGGAAGCAATCTTATAATTGGCTCCTTCCATGTATAATTTGACGTCACTCCTCGCCTCCAAAAGCTATGTGTAACAAACAAAAATTTGATATTACCCATCAACCTTGCAACGCTTAAAATGATGTAACGAAAAACAACTTACTGGTTATAAGTAAACCAGAAAAAATGGAGGTCAAGTGCATACTACAGTCTTGTGCGTATTATGATATAGATCATTTTCACTTTCAAATGAGATGGAAACTCGATCACATTGATTCGACCTTGGTTTTCATTCGTCATAAAATATAGATTTGATTGAATCATGATTTTTTACTATCATGATATATTTTTTAATGAAATTACTCCACTAGTTTGTTATAATTATTAATACAAAGATCGAACACAACGAAAAATTCCTTCGATTTGACAGAATTTGAACTTTTTTTATGATGCTAAATGATGGGACGAACAAGTCGTGCGCCTGGTGGTAAACGACACGCCTGTACTTATCAAACAAAATCGCAAAGATCTGAGGGACACTGTCACTGCGCCCGTCACCCAGAGACATAAGAGGTCCCATGTGCCTGTAATTTCACCAATACCCTTAACCCATCAAAACCAGAGCGCAGTACTGCTGACATTTAGTGTTTGGCGGCAGCAATAGGTAAGGTGGCAGTATTTCCTTGTACGAACACTTTCACAAGGAGCTGAGTGTATTGGTTTGTTGGTGAATCCCAAAAAGTCGCAGGCTATGATTGTGGGAAGTGGGTATATGCGTGGCATACTGCATCTAGATTCTGTCCCACCTATAACGTATAATTCGACGCCTATTGCTTATGCTTCTACTGCAATTAATCTTGGCTTGCTTTTAGATTGTAATTTGATTTGGACTCCACATATTAATGAAGTCAGTCGTAAAGTCCATTTTTCCTTCCACTCACTTAAGCGCCTCCAAAACGTTTTACCTTTAAAAACAAGATATGTTTAGTCCAAACACTTATTTTGCCCTTCTTAGACTATGCTGATTCCTGCTATTTGGATGCTACTGAAGAACTGCTAAATAAGCTTGAACGACTGCAAAACCTATGTATAAGGTTCATCTTTGGGCTTCGTAAATATGACCGAATTTCACATTTCCGCAGTCAGCTCAAATGGCTTCCCATCCGTCTCCGCAGGAATTTGCATATTGTCTCCATTCTTTACAATATTTTACATAACCCTGTGTTTACCGAGTACCTGAAAGAGCGTTTCAGCTTCCTTAGATCTCAGGATAAATCCTGTCGCTCTCTTGTTAGGTCCGCTAAAGCTATCTTTTCCATGCTTCAATTCCGGTTTCTATTCTCACTCCTTCACTGTTCATGCGGTCAGACTTTGGAATGCACTTCCTATTACTGTTCACGAAAGTAAATCGTTAGCTATTTTTAAAGTGAGAGTTAAGGAGCATTATTTATCTACTATTCCATCCATATCTTAGGTATTATATTATAAAATATGTATTTAACTAAGTATTTATATAATTTGTAACAATTTAACATTATTATATATTTTTTTTCCTTGTTTTGTTGTGCACATATTCTTTCTTCTTTTCTGTTCTTTTAGTTATAGTGTCCTGTATTTAGGTCTGCAGGAAGAAATTTCTATTAGAAATAAGCAGAACCTGTTGTTTTTAATTTCGCTTGTATTCTTTGTGACTTGTTGTATTTTTCCTGTACAATAAACTATTAAATAAATAAATAAAGGAGCTCTACTGTTACTAAAAATATAGTAATATAGGCAGAGTTCGAAATTCTCAAGATATTTACTTTCTTTGAGAATTATCCAATATATACCCTAAAATTGTCCTTGCCGATATATGGTACATATACAGACAAAACTAAATAAACACGAAGAAGTCTTTGAGAAAGCAATTACGATTGTAACTTTTTTGAAATTGACATTAAATTGACACGTTTGGATACATCTCGGATACGAACACGTCATTGCTACGGTGACATTTTATTGATCCAAAAATCAAGGTATATTTATCAAGATAATTTTAGGGTCTGAGGACTACGGCACATAAGGCAAAAAAGTGCTTCATTTCTTAATGTATACAATTATATATTTTTTGTTGTTTATAGCGTTGGAAGATGTGAAGAGAATGATAAATTTAGAAAAGACGCCTGTAGAATTAAAGTAACAAATCAATGAAGTAACTAATGAATTTGACTTATGTGCTTTAAGGACTATCCACACACATGGGCGGGCTGTGCTTCGTAAGGGGTTCAAAAAATGTCGCTGCTTATGCATTACTGCTTGGCGGCAGAAATAAACCTGTGTCTGTATGCCAATCTAGTGCACCTGATACACTGTTGATGAGATGATGCCATAGATTGGCGTTTAGATACAGGTTTATATGACCCACTAATAGGCTCGAGTCTCCTCTCAGGTGAGGGTTTTGGCCAAAGTCCGCTACGCTGGCCCAATGCAGGTTGGAGACTTATTTCCCTTACCGAAAGGCTCAAGGGCTGTTTCCTTATGCGCTTACTGGGTGCTCCTTCTGGTAGGAGCACGAGGACTAATGCTCCTACTAGTAGGACCAAAAGGATAAACATGTATTCGTGCTCCTACTTATGTACTATATTTATATGTGATTGATATTGCAGTTATTATACAACTTCTGGGTAGGTACTTGGATGAAAAAAATGCAAGATAGTGATCCGTTTAGCTCTTTCAGGTTGTTTCTATATGTATATTTAAATTACTATATTAATTTTAAAGAGCAACCCCTAGAGTTTCTTGATCATTCTTCTCGGGGGAATCTGCCTTACGAAAGAACGCAAAGTGACGATTTCAAGTGTAATTTTCTTCTTAACTATGTAATAAAGATATTATTGACTTTTTTATTGTGATATTTTTTAAATCTAGTTCAGTGAAGATATTAGTTACGATTTCACGATAGGAGCATAAGGACATATTAATCCTAGTGTTCCTACTATTAGGAGCACCCAGTAGGAACATAAGGAAACGGCCGGCTCGCGGTAAATTTCAAATTAAATTTCGTACATAACTTCCGGGAAATTCAGAGATGCTAGCCCGGATTCGAACCAACTACCACAGCCTCTGCTTGAGAGCCGGCTTGTCAGATCTAAGGATTTTTTTCTATGCGTTAGATCTTTATATTAATGTAATCTTAATAAAGAAGTTTAACGTTCTGTAGGCTATAACTGAGGTAATCAAGTTGTATGTGTCTATCAAATAGAACATATTTCCGGTGGTGGTCTAACTGCCATGATGAATGTTATTCACGCTTCATGTTTTATTAAAATAATAGATATTTCTCAATAACATTTGTGCAATTTTTGAATGTATATATCTCAGATAATCTTATATTTCACAATTACTAGATCTCGTTTTGTTTTGACTTTGAGTGCAATTGCAACAGTCTCTTTACGAGCGTGATAGAGCATCACTAATCTTAGCCATCTTTTTTACATAAATCTTTCACTTACCTTTTTTTCGCCATCCTCGTAGCATATCAGCTCCTCAAAGTGAGCCATTAAGTTGTTCTTAGGGTATTTAAAATATCGTTTCAATTCTGCATAACGACCTAAAGGCTAAACAGAATTATCATTTAAATGAATTAAAATAATAATAATAATAATAACTCAAACATCATAGCACCGCCTAGGGAAACCCTGTATCGCGGATGCTATGACACACACATTGACAATCACAAATTACACCTAAACTCACGAGATAAATAAATGTAGGCCATTATGAATTTTTTTTTCGGCCCGGGATTCGAACCCGGGACCCGCGTTTGGCCAATGAGGCAGTCATATAATAATGCCATAATAGGTACCATAATATGTACTATATCATGGGAAGGGTAAATATAAGCGAATAATGTATTATAATTTTCATTGAATAGGTACAAACTTCAAAGTCTAAGTTGCCGCTTTTTCGAATGGTGTCTTGCGGAAATTCGCTTGGGAAAATTCTTCTCAATTCGACATCTTCGCTGGAATATAAATAAAATTTGAACTTATGCCCTCCGCTGCATGAATAGTCACGATAAATCTCGACACTCACTACGAATAAATTTCCGCAACACTTTGCTCTATTAGGCCCAGCATCTATAATCGAAAAGCGTAGAATGATTTTAATTAAAAACCGAGAAACTCTGTGCCAGGCTGACGTACAAATTATTCAACTTACAAAGCAAGCCACAAAGCAAGCTGCTATTTTACACATTATGAATGATGTATCCAAAATAATCTACATATACACTTTAAAACATCGACACTTTATTGTGAAATAAATCCATAAAATATCTATTGAATATTTTATAGGAAAATACCGTAACAGGTTTATTTATTTACAACAGCAATTTTATGGATTTTAATCTTGCATAATACTCGTATACTAGGACATCGGTTAGTATGACTAACACAATATTCGCTGGGTATGAAGAGACGAAGTCGCTATTGCGATTATTTTTCATAATATATGATTATAAATATATAATTATTATGATAATTCTGAAAGCGGGTGGAACACCGGTACTAAAAGTCCTACAGAGGCTCTTTAATCCAGTCTTACTCGAAGGTTATACGCCAGACGCATGGTGATAATCTTCTTCAAAAAGGGAGATAACACCCTACTGACGAACTACAGGCCCATCTCGCTTCTAAGCCACGTTCATAAGCTGTTTTCACGAGTCATGACGAATCGTCTCGTGAGCAGATTTGATGACTTCCAGCCCCCCGAACAAGTCGGTTTCCGAAAAGGCTTCAGTACCATATACCACATCCACACGCTGCGGCAGGTTATACAGAAGACCGAGGAGTATAACCTGCCATTATACTTAGCGTTTGTGGACTATGAGAAAGCCTTTGAGTCGATTGAGATTTGGGCGGTGCTACAGTCTCTATAACGGTGCTACATTGACTATCGATATATCGCAATGTTGAAGTGTTTATACAGAAATGCCACTGTCTGTTCGACTCCAGAACCAGTGCACAAGGCCTATCCAATTACAAAGAGGGGTGCGACAGGGAGACGTCATTTCTCCGAAACTGTTCACCACTGCATTGGAAGAAGCCTTCAAGTTACTGGACTGGCGAGTACATCGCACATCTTCGATTAGCTGACGATACCGAGGTCATGAAGAATTGTTGGAATAGTTTGGCACCATGCTCGGTGACCTCAATAGAGTTTCCCAGCAGGTGGGTCTAAAATATACATGGACAAGATGAAACTTATGTCGAATGTCCATGTTGTACCCACCCCTATAACAGTGGGAACCTCTACTCTCGAAGTCGTTAACGAGTATGTCTACCTTGGACAAACCGCCAAATTAGGCAGACCCAAGCTCGAGGAAGAGGTCAATCGTCGAATCCGACTCGGTTGAGCAGCTTTCGGGAAGCTCCTCCTCCTCCTCCACAATACCGCTGTACTTGAAGACAAAAGTCTTCGAACAGTGCGTGTTGCCAGCGATAACCTACGATTCTGAGACGTGGTCACTTACTATGTACCTCATAAAAAATATTTCTCTACGTGATCAAATCAGAAATGAGGAGATCCGTAGAAGAAGGAAAGTCACCGACATAGCCCAAAGGATTAGCAAGTTGCAGTGGCAGTGGGCAGGGCACATAGCTCGTAGAACTGACGGCCATTGGGGCTGAAAGGTTCTCGAATGGAGACCTGTAATGCGTTCAGTGGGACGGCCCCCTACTAGATGGACGGATGACCTGGTAAGGGCGGCGGGTAACCGATGGATGCACGTTGCGTCCGACAGGCTAGTCTGGCCATTTTTAGGGGAGGCCTATGTTCAGTAGTAGACGTCTTCCGGCTGATATGATGATGATGATGATGATGATGATGATGATGATTCTGGGGTCGCCGGACTAAAGCACATAGGTCAAAATCCAACATTATTCATTTAAATTAACATATATTTATATTTAAATTATCTATATCTCATCAGGGCCACATCCGGGCCGTGCTAGTGTGTATGAACTCCGGACCCGTCCCGGCACACGAACACGGACGAGTTCATACAAAATATACGCAGCGATATTATTTTGAGCCCCTGACGGAGTACGGCCCGTCCACGTGCCGGGCACGGCCCTGATGTGGGTGGATCCTTAAAGCACATTAGTCAAATTCATTAATTTGTAACTTTAATTCTAGAGGCGACTTTTTCAAATTTATCATTCCCTTCACATCTTCCAACACTATGAACATCAAAATATATAATTACATATATTTACAAATGAAGCACTTTTTCGCCTATTGTGCTGTAGTCCGTAGACCCTAGAATTATCTTGATAAATATACCTTGGTTGGATCAACAAAATGTCAACGTAGCAGTGTTTTTGTATAAAAGATGTATCCAAACGTGTCAATTTAATGTTAATTTCAAAAAGTCACTAACCTAATATTGCTTTCTCAAAGACTTATTTTCGTGTTTATTTAGTTTTCTCTGTTTGTCATTTTTTATCAAATATCTTTATTATGTGCCGAGCATGTTTTTATGTTTTGCTTACAAAGTAGTTTTTCAAATAACTTCGTGTTTTGTTTTTGTCCATAGGATGATACAACCGATCATCGTCGCTTGAGTGCGTTCCTGGCAATCTTGATATAAACCGTGTATTTTTTAAATCGGACACTGGCAGAATTGTCCTCAGTGGGACAGAAGCCAAAACAAAAAAAAAAAAAGAAAAGTGATCAAACTATGTATCGGCCAGGACAATTCCTAGTATTAGGTTATATATCGGATAATTCTCAGGTAATTATAACGATATTATCAAAGGAAATAAATATCTTGAGAATTCGAACTCTGTCTACATTACTATATTTTTAGTAACAGTAGAGCTCGTTGTGCAAGTGTTCGTCCAGGGAAGTGCTTGCCACCTTACCTATTTCTGCCGCCAAGCAGTGATGTCAGCATTACTGTGTTCCGCTTTTGAAGGGTGCTGGTGAAATTACAGGCACATGGGACTTGTCAACTTATGTCTCAGGTGACGGGCGCAGTGCCCTTCAGATCTTTGCGATATAAAGCTCTAAGTGCCACTGCAACTGTTATAGATAGGCGCACGAATTGTTCATCCTGTCACTTGATATTATAAAAAAGAAAATCAACCATTAAAATAATTGCTCCTTATAATATATTTAGGCGCTATTTATAAAAATGAATCTTCATGTGTGAACACCCACCCTTAGATGTGGATGAATTTCTACTACTATGGAGGAACCCTCTTTCCAACAAAAAAAAGAATAATGAAAATCGGTTCACAAATACCGGAGTTATCGCGTAACATACATTAAAAAAAAACATACAGTCGAATTGAGAACCTCCTTTTTTGAAGGCGGTTAAAAACAAAGAATTACCTTCGACACTTAGCAAAGTTAAATATTAAAACTCGTCGGAAGTAACTTAGGAAGTTATTTCAAATTTACCAGAAGACCTATATTATTACGTGAATAAAAGTACGGTCTGAACAGAAATTATTTAATAACATTACACAATTCGTCTATCATTGAATCTAGTGTCTTCTTCAAGTTGTGGTTGGAAGCCGTTGGCATCGGCTATGTACTTCAAAGTATAGTAGCGTCCTTCCGGGTCTACGTACCCATATTCGCCTCTTACTACCATGCTAGAGCCTTCTGTCCGGGTTACGATACCACCATCTTCTTTTCTATATGTTCCATCTTCAGTTTTAAACCTGGAATATTTAATAATATGAGAAAAATCGATGACCTCGATTATTGGTTTACATTGTGATGGGATGAGGAGGTTCCGGGTTCGAGTCGTGGTAGGACCAATATGGGCATCGATGACCTCGATTATTGGTTTACATTGTGATGGGATGAGGAGGTTCCGGGTACGAGTCGTGGTAGGACCAATATGGGCTGGGCTGTGTCCCGGAGTGAATTCTGTTGCGCTAGAACTCATAGTATAGGAAATTCCCTTAATAATAATTATTATTAAATGCTCATTTCTGCTTTTTAAGTAATAGACGAATGTTCTCCCACAACGTGGCCTGGTGATATAACGCTTTGTCTAGTAGCAATTAATGCTTGGATCGTGGTAAACTATTTTTACTTGAGTAAAAAGTGTATTTCTATAATAATAATTATAACTATAGTACCTGACAACCACAAGTAGAAAATCCCTGTGAGTACCAGAGCAACTAAATTAATAATGAATTTTGGAGCTACTTAGAAAAACCCTGGACATTCAAAGCAGGAGCAATTTCGAAAATTTCCTTTCCCAACTTAGCGTCCACAGTCTTATTAACAGCTGGGCCACCGAGGCAGTCTAAAATTTCAAGTTTTAGAGCCTAATGCACTACGTATTTAGAACGCGCGTGTTCGGCGCCGCAGAGGCTGAATAAAACATGTGCAATAGTGTACTGGCTGCGTATGAATATCGTTCAAATTCTGCGCAACATCCGCGTATAAAAATACACCGTGTGCGTAGGCTCTCAACTAATAGCTGAGCGAATTTAGTTTAACTTATTATATATCATATAGTCCAATATCTAATATCAATCAATTTTTCTTGTTTTGTTGAGCACATATGCCCGTTCTTTTAGTTGTAGTGTCCTGTATTTAGGTCTACAGGAAGAAATTTCTATTTGAAATAAGCAGAATCTTTTGTTTTTTATTTCCCTTGTATTCTTTGTGACTTGTTGTATTTTTCTTGTACAATAAACTATTAAATAAAAAAATAAAAAAAATAAATCAACAGGCTCAAGGGTAGATATACAGTGGATTCTGGGATACAGCTGTGTAAAACCCTAAGGGTTTGAACCGTCAATTGTTAAAGGAGTTTCCTGCCCTTCTTAATTAATAATTTTACTAATGACATATTTCTTATTGCAAATGAGATTTGTTATGAACATAGCCGAAAGTGACCTGTAAACGGTAAGAGCACACTGCTCCCGATTCGTACCAGTTCCGAATCTGAGAAATGACAGTCCGAAATGTACAGGGATTATTTTATCTCTAGATGTACAAGCGATATTCATATTTTCTCGGATTCGAACCGGGATTACTGCACAAGCGACATCAGAAATGGGTCCGAGTTTTCTAGATTTGTGTAAACGCGCTAAGACTCGATTTACATTGTAGCGGAACGGAATAAAAGCCAATTAGTGTAACGATACAATACACAATACAGAGAAGTTAAAGTCATTAAAATTGTGTAACGTACAAACTAGATACGACACGGTAGGTGCGAAATTCCTAAGACTGCGTGAGATTCTCCGGAAAATTTGCGATCAGTTTTTTCGATCATATCTAGATTCTACGTTACACAAAGTTGGTTATTTGTTATTGATGTAAATAAAGCCACAAACTTAAGCTTATCCAATCATAACTTTTGATTAAAAAAAATGCTAGATTTATCACGTATTTTTTTTTTGCCCCGCACTAGAGAAACCCTGTGTCGTGGGTGCCATGGAAACACATATAGACAACCACAAATTACACCCAAATTCACGAGAGAAATAAATGTAGGCCATACAAATATTTCTAGCGACTCGAACCCGGGACCTCTGCGTGGTAACCGTTCGTACACGGAGGCGGTTAAACATACGAAACATTAAAATTGATCATTATAGTAAGTTACAGAAAATCATCGTCAAGCCATTGTTCGTCCCACTGCTGGGCATGGATGTTCTCTATAAGTGTTTAAGGCATAGTCTGCTACCCTAGTTCAATGCGGGTTTCGCACGCATAGCTACTAAACCTTGACAAATGCACGTAAGTTAGAAATTAAGTCATAGGTGCATTGTGCCAAAGGGATTTGAACCGTTTGCGTGAGAAGCAACCATTTCCATCACTAGACCACCACTCTTTAAAACTGTATTTCATTGAAATAATAGTTAATTGAACCCACTTACTCGAAACTATAAGCCCCTAATCCATTGTTGTTGTAAACAAATTTGTTTATTCGATTCGTCAGGCAGCAAGTTCCGGGGAAATTGACAATTGTCGTCGAGATTATGACCACGCAAAGATGAGCTCCGCTTACCTGCGCAATATACCATATGTCAAGGCCAATGTGTCGGACCATAATGTGAAATTTATTAACAAAACCTGTTCTATGTTGTAAATTCTTTGTCACCACCCTTTGCCTAAACATATTAATCTGTCGATAAATATGTGTGTGTATAATATTCATTAAGTGTGTTTTATTGTTATAATTTACTATTTAATATTAATATATAATAAACAATCGACTGATGGATGTTCATGAAGTATGTTGCAACTTTACAACTGGCATTTCATTAAAACTCCGAAATATTATCGTTAAGGAATCCAAATAAACAGCCTTTCCATCTTTTTTAAATAATATATGTATAACTATTTTGGTATATTTTATGCAAAGCTTGTTTTTCATGGAGCTGTAGAATTATGCTAATTTTAGAGTCAATTTAAATAAAAGTTATATTTATTAACATTGTTATTGTTAATACTTCTCTGTAGCATGACACCGACTCAACGGTCAACTTAAAGAACGCTAATTAATAATAATAATAGTTAGGCTATGTAATACCACTACCACTGCTGGACCCTTAAGGCTGGTTACACAGCAGTGCATACGGTCCGTACGGACTGTCCGCCTGCGGGCCATCCGTATGCGTAGAATCCGCAGTGTTCTAAATCAAGTACTTAATTTAGTGCGGATATTCACGGAAGACAGTCGCCTACAATGAACGCACGGGTGGCTTGTGCGGAGTTCACCGGCGTCACTGTAAAACAATGTTCTAACGCCACACGTGTTACTCCGCTCCGGTGCTTCGCACGGACGGTCAGCAGATAAATCCGCACTGCTCTAAAATCAGACTAAATGTGCTGCCCCTGTATTTTCACGATTACAAGAGTAGTTTCTTCGAGCAGGCTCGCCTCGATTGTGTTTTTATGTTTGCCTGTCTCGTCACCTTTGTGTTGTTCAGGGTATCGCTTTCTCAAATAGTGGAATTTATTGTGTAATTTTAATTTTTTTTTCAATTTGGATAGTTAGCCGCAGAATTACTGTGCCGCCCGGGGCCATGGCCCCTCTGCACCCCCCACGCTACGTTCCTGTGCTAGGCTCAGGCCTCACACTTTGAGAGAGTTTGGGCTGTAGTTCGCTGTAGTAGGCCAATTGCTGATTGGGGACTTACAGACCTCATGAATTGCTTTGCAGATATCGTCTCGACGTTTTCCTTCACCGAAGAGCTCATGGTAAACTTTAAATTGAGAGATGCAAGCCAGGATTTGAGAGGCAGTAAGACAAACCATAAGGCATTCACGGCTCAACACAAAAGGAGCACTAAAGAACACTAACCTAGCCTAAAGAAACAGTTGTAGCACTAACAATAAATTACAATCGAATTCCAGGTGTCAATACATTAACGTCGATTTGTCGAATTGAATCAAACTTGTCAAATTAGTGGCTTTAGTTCTGTAGTTATCGGTGTATGTCCTCGTGCATGATAGGACATAAATTAATTATTTTTATTGAATATAATGATGTTTTTACTAATATGACATTCGTCTATTTTTTGTAAAAATATTCAACTGTTTTGTTGTTGTTAAAAATACTCAACGTGGTCACTCAAATTGTAGCAGTAGAGCTCCTTGTGAAAGAGATCGTCCAGGGAGGACTGCCACCTTACCTATTTCTGCTGCCAAGCGGTAATGTGTTACTGGGACTATCCATTCTGCATCATCATCTATAGATACATCTTTTCACATTTAAGTTTACATGTCTGACACTGACATTAACGTTTAAATAACTATTAGTAAGAATGCTCATGACCTTATAGTGACCCTAGGACCTTTATGATTGACTCAAACTCATTCTAATTACGCATTATCAGCGTTTATAAAAGGTTGTGTTGGAGTTGGAATAATCAATCTTCGTTATATTTTTATGCCTATGATTATGTTAAATTATATGAGGTAAGAAAATAAATGCGTTTATAGCAGGTGGGTTTACGTCTAGTCCCAAATTCTACATTTTAGGGCCCTTTTTCTTCCTAACGTATCTACTGACGACGTACACTATACTGCTGTGGACCAGGACTCAACCACGTCGCCAGCTATTGGATTTAGGAGAAGTAGGGCAGTCCTTAAGTGCTCGTACACATAAACCATTAACGGGCTTAGAATCTTAATTTTTATTGTATAAGTATAAAGCGCATCGAGAATGCTATGAACAGGTAACTAATTGATAACAATTGAGAAAATAATTGATTAGTCGGTGTGATTATAAAATGTTACCATGTAACCTATCATGCAAATATGCATATGTTAAAACCAGAGGCAGATAATTATTACAACATTGTTAATCATAGGCATTGATGTTAATTAGACATAATACATAAATAATGTATGCTTTTAGAGAGGCGGGCGTATCGTCGCACGTTTATAGCACTGACCCACTATATTGCACATTATATATATCAATGGACATCTAAACAATAGCTGTTCATTTATTCAGTCAAATAAAAATTACAACAATTACATACTGAGTTTTTAAAGTGAATAGACTATTATTAAAGGGCATTGTCAATACAAAATTTATTTCATTGTTTTAGAAATATTGTTATGATTAAATTGTTTCTAAGTACCGTTTTACTTTCTTTTGAGACATACTATGTGATACGTGTTTGGGTTGAATAAACATTTTATCTACCTATGTAGGTATGTAACAGTATAGAATATTGCTTTTTTGCCAGTAAATTAAGTAGACAGCTTGAAGAGAAATAACAACAAGTCTTGATATTAGATTCAATTACCCACAGTATTATGTACTTAGAACTATACAGACCAAAGCATAATTTCCTTTATAATCCAAACACGTTTATAGACAAAACCTACAATGTGTAAGTTACATAAATGTGCTAAGAACTTGGAATTGCCAACAAAATACTTTAAACTTGACAGGAAAAATAGTGCGTAAATCAAAATATGGATAAAACAAAATTTATTGGTGAGAAAAAACAAGTTTTGGACTTACCATAATGAAGGTTATAATTTCCCCCCGAGTGTTTTTGTTAACTGTGACCACAGCACTCTGCTCACACCTTATATCCAGTTCTTCAAGAATCCGTCTGGACCTCATTCCTTTGCAAATAATGCTACGTCAAGGACTCAATGTCATTGACACTAATATATTTTATATAGCGAATCCTACAATCTTACTTATACACCACTCGTTTTATAAATGTTAAACCATTTATACTTTAATGTTTGTAATTAAGTTATGTAAATTAGTCGTCCCGTACTTTGCTAGTGGTTTGTACGTACAAACATAACCAATAATAATAATGTGGCGTGTCGCTTCCAGTACAAATACAGACAGCGGTCCTGCTCGATACGACGCGTATTATTTGCCGGTTCTTGAACCTGAGTCTCTGACGCTGGCCGACTATGTGCCATTGCCTGAGGAACACCGCCATTTTCATTTTAAAAATTAGTCATTTAGGCTATGAGAGTTTACAATAGATATCCTAGATAATAATAACAGGCTCAAGCTCAGCCTCCAGCTGAAAACCAGCGCTGAGGCTTGGCCCAGCATAAAGCCGAGCTGACTAGTCTTTTCGGCTATTATTGTGTAATTTTAACTGCCTCTGTGGCCGTTAAAATTACACAATCCGTTTCCGGGTTCGATTCCCGGCTCGGGAGAAATATTTGTATGGCCCACATTTCCTTCTCTCGTGAGTTTGTAATTTGTGGTTGTCTATGTATGTTTCCATAGCACCCATGACACAGGGTTTCCTCAGTATGAGAGTGTGAGTGTGAGTGAGCGTTTAAAAAAAATTAGTTACTTTATTTTATTTTCATTACATTTTTTAAGCCGTGGTATCTTAATGGTTTGACCTGCCGCCTCTCAAACAGATGTAGCGGGTTCGCACCTCTGAGTTTTTCGGAATTTATATGCGAAATTTAATTTTAAAACATCGTGATGAAACCTGCACGTTGCAGAAGTTTCACAACCCTCGAAAATCGTGTGAAACCAATCCGCATCGGGCCAGTGTCGCGGACTATGGTCGACGCCCTCGCCAAAGAGGAGACCCGTGCCCAGCTGTGGGGTGTATAAATGGATTGACGATGATGATGATGACTTTTATTTTCTCTTTTGATTTTAATTGATACCACTGGATTTGTTTAACATTAACATTATTGTGAATAGTCAAATAAATGTTTCTTTCTTTCTAATAATGTGTCACACAACCACTCCAATTAACTGATCTCTTGTAAGGAAATTCCTTTGAGTACTATAGGAGTAGTTATTCACTCTGGGGCACTTCTCAGAACACTCAGAGCAGAAACAATTTAGAAAAGTTCGTTTCCCAAATTGGTCCTAACGAACAACAACAAAGGATCACCTCATTCAGCACCCACAGTTCTAATCGATGGGCCCGGTGGTCACGAGCACGGTAGTTCGTCAAACAATATTAGTTTAAGTGTTTGGTAAAATTTTCCAAATTTTTTTAAAGTTTTAGGTTCCATGCCTATACGCCTTTTTTATTTTATAATATCAAATGACGGGTCGAACAGGTCGTGCGCCTGATGGTAAGCTACATGCCTGTCCATGACAATTGCGTTGCCATTCAGAGCTTTAAATCACAAAAATCTGAGGGGCACTGCCTCTGCCACAGCGCCCGTCACCCTGAGACGTAAGTTGACAAGTCCCGTGTGCCATTTCACCAGCACTCTTACCCTTCAAAACCGGAACACAGTAATGCTGACATTACTGCTTGGCGGCAGAAATAGATAAGGTGGCAGTACTTCTCTGAACGAACTCTCCCACTAGAAGCTCTACCGCTGCTAAACTTTACAGCTACGTAATGGCATAGTTTTTTTTTTAAATAAGTAACGCACACATTCAACTTACGCACTAGGGAAACCCCGTATCGCGGGTGCCATGGACACACATCGACAACCACAAATTACACCCAAACTCACGAGAGAAATAAATGTAGGCCATACAAATATTTCTCCCGGCCCGGGCATCGAACATGTGACCTCTGCGTGGTAGTCCGGCATTATAACCGTTCGGCCACGGAGGAAATTATTATATAATATAGAGGTTATACCCAATTGCAATGCAGGAAAAATACACTTGCCCTTAAAGTGCTATCAAGAGGCTTTCTTCTGTTCTCATCAGACATCCATCAGAAATAATTACTGTCCACTCAACAAATCAGTAACACTAATCAAATCAAAAGACAATATCAAGTACGAAGCTTCATTCGCATCGTGCATCTTTCAATTTTGTCGAGTATTACTTATTTGACAGCAATTGTTTCGGATCGAGAACGGGAACAGACCCCCTGTTGAGAATCCATATCTGTACACTATGGTTTAAAGTGTGCAGACCGCCCACAAGGTGGACCGATGACTTGGCAAAGGTTACGCGAATTCACTGGATACAAACAGCACAAGACCGGTCGTTGTGGCGATCTTTGAGGTAGGCCTATGTTCAGCAGCGGACGTTTTTCGGCTGAAATGAAGATGATGATGAAGATGCGTCTAAAGTAGAACGAGAATGCTATGATTATGTAGCTAAAGGTGCTTTTCCACCAGTCAGGCGAGACTAGACGAGACGAGGATTGAAATTGTGTGGCTAAATTCCAATTCTCACCTAGCGCATCTTCGGCGGAAATAATCTGGATTGACGAGGATGGGCAAGACGAGAATTGAATTATTTGTTGACGTAATATAGAGCCGTATTGCTACCTACATAGCGTA